AGTCTGTTCCATGCTTCTGTGTCTCTGGGTCCATTTTGTTCATCAGTTTATTTTGTTTATTATATTCCAGATATGAGTGCAATCATATGGTACTTGTCTTTCTCTGACTGGCTTATTTCACTTAGCATAATACTTTCTAGTTCCCTCCATGCTGTCCCAAAGGATAAAAGATCATTCTTTTTCACAGCTGCATAGTATTCCATGTGTGTGAATGTCCCACAGCTTTTTTATCCACTCACCTACTGATGGGCACTTGGGCTGTTTACATATCTTAGCTATTGTAAATTGTTCTGCTATGAACATAGGGGCACATAAGTTCTTTGTGATTGGTGTTTTGGGGAGGAAGGAATTCTGATTGGGGGATGCAGCGGGGAAAGAGTGGTGGGGCATGGGTAGAACATGGAGAAATCAATCTTCTGCTAGTCCCCTTTGGCTCCAGTCTGGACTGGGTTTGAGCTCCTTTGTAAGACTGAATGTTGGAAACTAACCAGAATGTCAGTGAGAAACTTTATAAAACTTTGGGCAAAAACAGGCTGCTTCAGGGTCTAGATCAGGAATCGGTAAACTACAACCCTTGTACCAAATGCCAAATCCGCTCAGCCACCTCTTTTTGTAAACAAAGTGTTATTGAAACACAGCCACGCCCATTTATTTGCATAGTGTCTAGAGCTCCTTTCATTATAACAGCAGACTTGAGTAGTTTTGATCAAGACCCTAAGACCTGCAAAGCCTAAAATATCTATAATATGGCCCTTTGCAGAAAAAGTTTCCCAACCCTTGGAATAGATGCTAAGTGTCCCCTGTCTCTCTGGGAGGAAACCAACACGGCTCTGAGGCAGCCAAGCAGAATCCGGGGCACACGCAGCATCTTTTTCATCCCATCCCCAGCATTTTCCAGCTGGGGACAGACCTGCGGCCCAGCCCGAGCAGGAGAGGCTGACAGGGCGGCTCTGGGAGGGGCTGCTCCTTCAGGCTGCTCTACAGCCCTTGGAAGTGCCTGGAAACACTGGGTGTTACTGTGACTGCAAAGACAAGGGGAGGAAGAAGCACTGGAGTTTTATTTGCCTTCCCAGTGCCTGGTGTAGGAAAGGTATATGGAGGGTGCTAGATAAACGTTTGCTGAGTATTTCTGAAACAAGAAAGGACTTGGTGGCCTGTGGTGTAGATACAGTTTTTTCAGAGCCCCTGTCGGGCATTGCCAGTAAAGAGCCTGGATGCCTGTAGCTCAGAACTGAAATCTCTCCTACTTGGAGACCAAGATATCTCTTCTCAGCTGCTTCTGCAGCTAATAGCAAAGGTGAAGATTATGATGATAATGATTATAGCTAACAGTAAGTAAGTCTTGTGTGCTTAGCAAGTGCTAAGCATTATTCTAGGTCCTTTATAGGTAGTAATTTATTTTTAGTCTCTTGACAAGAAGTTTTAATTTAATTTCATTTTACAGATGAGGAAACTGAGGCACAGAGAAACTATATAACTTGCCCAAGGAAAACAGCTAGTGAGTGGCAGAGCCAGAATTTGAAAATAGGATGATCTTTGTAGCTGGGAAAAAATGGATTGCGAGGGTGACAGAGATGCTGGCTCCTTCACTGGATCCAGGGAGCTTTCTTTGTCTCTTTGTCATCTAGGAGTTTAGTCACTCATTTAACAAATCTTAAGGAATGTGCCCTGTGTCTTTCTGTTATGTCTGTAACTGGTCTAGAGGTGGGGATGTTACTGAGTTCTGGTCAACAAGATGTGGGACGCCTGCTGGGGCCTTGTGAAAAGATTTCCAACCATGAAAATCCCACTCACGGGCAAAACAGAGGAGAGAGACGATGTTACCGGGGTGTGATGCTCAATGACGCTGAACCCCATTCCCGCCCAGAGCGCGTGCCCCTCAACCCTTATTAGTGAGATAATAAACCCCTCTTGTTTAATCCATGTTTAGTCAGATATCTTGTCACTCAGACATTCTCGACTCCATTATCCGATTCTCTTTCCTTAGATCATCAGAAAGTGTCTTATTTTGCAATTGGCTTCCCCCTCTGCCTATCCCCCCCACTTTCTCTTCTAGAACATACACTCCAGGGAACATGGCTCTTACCTCCCCTATTCACTGCTCTGTTCCCAGGGCCCAGACCAGGTCTGGCCAAAGTGTTGAGGAATCTAAATATAAACCGGAGGCTCACAGTTCAGTGGGGAAACAGAAAAATAAAGTTATAATACAATATAACAAATGTCATCCTAGAAGCAAAACTCCCAGGAGACGAGGTCTGCTTAGGAGCTGTGCGTTATAAAGCTATTGTCAGTGGTCTGGTCTCAGACGCACCCCAGAGCCCCCCAACTTTCATAGGGAAAAGTGGAGAACCTATCGTTTTCAAGCTTGTTTTAAAAAGAGATCATTTGGGGGTTTTCTTGTTTGTTCGTCTTGTTTATGTTACTTTAATTAGTCTTATGTTTCTCTGTAAAATCTGTCTCCAGTGTAGCTGATTTTCACTGGCAGTCTGCTCCCAGCTCTCTGGACTAAAACAGAGCAGCAGGCTGTATTTAAATTTCCCTGCATCCTTTATGTCAGGTCACAGCAAGCATGTTATTTGTTCCTAACTTTCAAGGGCACTGCATTTAAGACAATATGCTTTAAGGGAATATTCAACCCAAGGAGCTGTAGTTACAATACTGGAAATAGTGGTGGAGAGAGATGTTTTTTGTTTTTTTTTAAAATATGTTTTTATTGATTTCAGAGAGAGGAAGGGAGGAGAGAGAGAGAGAGAGAAACATCAATGATGAGTCATCGATCAGCTGCCTCCTGCACTCCCCCTACTGGGGATCGATCCCATAACCCAGGAATCTAACCTCCATCTCCTGGATCATAGGTCGATGCTCGTCTGCTGAGCCACGCCAGCTGGGCAAGAGACTTGTTTTTTAAAAGAGCTTTAAGCCAGGAAATTCTGATTTAAAGGAAAACTTGTGTTTTTGTTTGCAGTTATGCAAAAATAAATTAGCAAGGGCCATTTGGGAGGTAACCAAACGCAGATGCTGGGGAGAAGCGGAGGCCTTAGCTCTGGTGGGAGGTTATGGCACAGGTTTGAGAGAGCCTGTTTCTAAGGACTTGGTCACTTTTTGTGGCCAGGTGACTGTGCTGCTCCTCGGGGTTAAGTGTGCTCTCTGGGGGTAGTTGCTGCAGAAGGGATATTCGGGCCCAGTCATCACCACCTGCCAAAGGAACAGAGCTGGACTGGGCTTTCCAAGGACTAGCCTGTTGGTGTCCTTCAGGATGGAATCTCCAGAATTGTAATCAGATTAGAATATTGTGTCTTGATATGAATGTCCTATGAGCTTGAACAATTGAAAATATCCTGAAAATGGACCACTGTGCTATGACACTTGTCCTAAACAATCACATAAACAAAAATGTACTGATGTTGGGCTCTGGTGCTCTGATGTGATTGTCCGTGAATGTGGGGGGAGTGGGGAGGAAGGGTTCTCCCTTGTGGGAAGCAGGAAGATCCACTGTCAGTCATCCTAGGAAAAGGGAAATCTTGGGATGAGAAAGAGTGGGAAGGAAACTCCTCTCTTTTACTGTAGGGGTCTGCAACCTTTTTCTGTAATGATCCAGATAATAGCTAGTTTAGGCTTTGCTAGATGTCAGCCGAGCTCAAAAGAGTCGAGCTTTGGCTAGAAATAAATGACAAAGATTTATTCAGTGGTTTGCAAACCAGAAACACAACTAGGCAATATTTAGTGTTCTGAAAGGGAAAGAATAGCTGAGCGTTCTTACAATAAAAAGTATATTCTTGAGGAAAATCAGTTCTGCGTTCCTAGCCCCCTGATTGGTTCAAGATGGTCAGTGTCGTGTATGGTGGTGGTAATCAGATGTCCAGTGGTCTAGACATCGGAACGTTTCCTTTGATGTCATGCAGGTGGTTACTTGGAGATCTGATGTACGTCCAGTCATCAGTACCCAATGTACCGATGTGTTTCCAGGGATTCACACAGAATGGAAATTCAAAAGTTTCAGTTCCCAGAGTACTTAAAACAAGAATAATTGTTTCCCTATGCCTCAGCCCACTTGAAGTTAATAATTTAGCAGCTTGACTATAGTGACTCCATGCTATTTCTTCACTCTGTTCCTCACAGGCCACATATACAGTTGCTGTCACAACTACTCAACTCTGGCATTAAAGCCTGAAAACAGCCACAGACAATATGTAAATGGATGGTCATGGCTGTGTCTCAGTAACATTTTACAAAACAGGCAGCAGGCTGGATCTGGCTTATGGGCCACCATTTGCCAACCCCTGTTCTAGAGCATTGTGGGGGATGGTGCCTGGGAACCAGAGGGTGTAGGCATGTCATCAGGAGATAAGCTAACTCACAGTAGATACTTGGCCAAGAGCTATGCTAACAGGATACCTTTCAGGACCCTCTAAGGGTGTGGGCTCTGAAGACACCGTTTCTAACAGCAGCTGTAAGACAGAGCCTGTTATCTCTCTTGCTAACTCCTAAACTTCTCTTCCGGTAGAATTCACAGCCTTGGCTTAGGTGTTGTGGGGAGTAAGAGGAGGGCCTCACTCATCGTTGGGACCCAGGAGCAAAGCGAGAGCTGTTCTCTGACCCCAGTGGACCCTGGCAGAGGATGGGGTCCCTAGAGAAGGCAGAGGCGGAGAGGAGGAGAAACCTGCTTGTGGGAGAGAAGGAGGCAGCGGGCCCCCGAGGAAATGAGTGCTGAGGAACTTCAGGCATTTCTCTATGGGGAGGTGTAGGCTTGAGCCATCGTAACCGGGATGCTTAAGGAAAATTATATTTTCTTTTATAATCATAGGTAGTGAACTCTAGACACAGAGTAGGTGGTCAACCAGTTGCTCCTAAGTAGGCTGGCGACTAAAACCTGTCCCAGACAAACCCTCAGGGCCCCAGCCACTAGCTTCTGCTAAGCACAATGACCGTGACAGAACCAAGGGCTGAAGGCAGCCAGGTAAGTCAGAGGAATTGCCTTCGCTGTGACCACAAGGCGTGAGTCACGCAGCTCTGCTCAGCTTCTGCCCCACCAGGAAGAAAAGGCCTTCGCAGTTGGTCTTGATGGAAGAATAACGCTGGGAGGTCACCTTGAACTGCTTGATGGTGTAGCCGGCCTCTCTCACCGCCGCCTGCACCGTCTCCTCGTCCAGGAAGAGGCTGGAGAACCTCTGCTCGCCCAGCATGTAGTAGTTGCTCCTCAGGGCGTCCACGAGCACTAGGTGGCCCCCCGGCTTGAGCAGGCCGCCCAGGTTGCTGAGCGCCGCGCGGAAGGCCGCCATGTCGGGGCAGGCGGCATCCAGGCACAGCGTGCTGAGCAGGCAGTCGGCCGGGGGCAGGGCGGCTGCCCCCAGCGGCCGGCTCTGGCTCACGTCACACTTCAGCAGCTGCTTGACCGCCCGCCGCAGCTTCTCCTCCTTCTCCTGCACCTTGGTCCTGAAACAGAAACGACAGACACTGTCTGCCTCAGCGTGGGGGCCACAGATAGCTTTGCGCCGGGCTGAAAATCACAGTGTCGCCCTACGTGTTGTGTCTTTGGGGCCTTCGCTGTTGTCAAAGCAAAGAAAGAAGACATGAGAAACCGTGTTCACATCTGAATGTGGTCACCTTGCCCGGTGCTGGGCTGAATGTCTTTATATGGAAATGACAATAAAAACGCCTGGCCGCTGCCTCTATACTGGCCTGCCCCATGCAACTATTCTTCCTCCACTGCTTAAAGTAGTGCCACTCATTTATTATTATGATGATTTATTAATTATTATTAATTAATTTATCATTACCTTTGTCCCCTCTACCAACTTGCAAGGCAGTGGCCATTTGACCCATATATATCAGGCAATAATGGGTTTAAAATGCTGACGTGGTATCTTAGTAGTGGCTGGTTAGTGAGGGGAGTGGGGTCATCCAGAGACATTTTTAGAAGCTGGTGATCACTGTCACACGGTTGTGACCAGGGCCTTTCTAGAGAGAATAAAACTACTAGTTGCCATTCTCAGGCTCTAAAACATACTGCAGTAGAGTGTTTTCTGAAGGAGATCATTTTCTCAGTAGCCTTGCTCCTGTCCTCTTCTGCCAAATCAGTGGGGTTTTTGAGAGAAAATCAGTCAATGACAGGAGCAGAGGAGGCAAGGGCAGGAGATGGGATAGAGGGCCTGGATCCTTTAGGAACTTTTTGGGGGGGAGCGAAGGAACAAACTGACAAAGACACAGAATGCAGAAGAGAAACTGGAGACAGTAGCAGCAAACCAGAGAGGTAGGAGAAAGGGAAGAACTGAGTGTGTGAAGTGCCCAGAGGCCTTGGAGCTCAGATAATAGAAACGATGATTGGGCCTCCAGCCTTTTGAGGAAGTTAATCAACAAAGCACCAGGGGTGCAGACCCAGGCTTACATGTGGGAACATGTAGTCCCTCGGCTCCAGGAGAGGACAGCCACTTGGGCAACAGGCTTGGAGGGGAGAGCAGAGGATGGCACAACATCAGAGCAGGTGAGAGAGAGACTTAACACTGGTACCATTTCTAATCGTGATGAAAAGTCAATGGTTTATATAAAACTTGGAGATTTGCCTCTAGGGGGAATGATTTGAGATAATAGCAATTAGTTGTGGATATCCTATTTAAGTATTTAGTTAAAATCTTAAGCCTTCAGCATATAGTCAGTTTTTACAACATCCTTTATGTTTATAATTTTCCATTTAAGAAACTTAGCAGTAAATATATGAAAAGATGCTCCACGTCCTTGGCCACCAGGGAATTGCAGATCAAACTCTGAGATACCACTTCACACCCACTGGGATGCCTATAGTAGGAAAGACACATAATAGCAAGTGTTGCCCAGGATGTGGAGAAACCAGAACCTGTACACACTGCTGGTGCGAACGTGAAGCAGCTTCTTTGGAAAACAGTCTGAAGTTCCACAGAAGGTTGAACATGGAGTCACCACATGACCCCGGGATTCCACTCACAGCGTGGACTTTCTCTTTTACCCAAGAGAAACAAAAACGTGATCTCACAGAAACTCGCACATAAGTATTTATAGCAGCACTAGTCACAATAGCCAAAAGACAGAAATGAAAATGTCCACCCGCTTGTGAACAGATAAATGTGGAATATCTATACCATGGACTATTATTCAGTAATAAAAAAGGAATAAACAACTGATACATGCTACAGTATGGAAGAGCCTTAAACACACTGGCTGAGTGAAAAAAGCCAGGCACAAAAGGCCACAGCATATATGATTCCACTTACAGGAGGTGCCAGAAAGGGCAAAGCTATAGGGACTGACAGCGGACCATGGTGGCCAGAAGTTGAGAGGACGGGGAACTGGGAGTGACTGCTAATGGCACAGGGTTTGCGTGGGGAGCTGTGAGAATGTTCTGAGATTGTGTTGAGGATTGCACAACTCTGTGAATATACTAATAACTATTGAACCACACACTTTAAATGGGTGAATTGTATGTTATGTGAATTTTATCTCAGTAAAGCTGTTGAGAGAGAGAGAGAGAGAGAGAGAGTAAGCGAGTAAGCTTAGCAAGGTATTGGTTTCAGGGAATTCATACCAACCAATAAACTGGTATATACAAGGATTAATTGCTTTTGATTTTGTAAAAACGGCTGGACTTTCTGGTCTTCCTGAAAATCCCAGATGCTGGGAACCCCTCTCAGTCGTGGGCAAAGTGGGAATGTTAGTCCTTCTAAAAGTAAGGAAATCAGATGCAAAGCTGCAGCCCAGCCTGCTAGAATGTGGATAATTTAATTGACAGAACATTTTAAGAATAAAAATAATAATTCAACAGTATGGAAGCCTGTGTGAAACATGGATTTGAATAGGTAAAGTAATCTAGAATAGAAGAATTTCACATGCCCTACCGGTGCATATGGATAATGTAAGTGTACACAGAAAGCTAGAGAAATGATAACATAGCTTATTTCTAATGTGTTTAAAGGTGACCTTTCATATTGGGAGCATTTGGGGAATGGGTGTTTAAGTCATGGCACGAGCAGGCCTTTGTATTCAGCTATTTTAAAGACACAGTCACCACAGAGCCAGAATTTGCCAGTCAGGTGACAATGACAATTGTTCCCAAACTGTGAGGCACACTGTGAAGTCTAGAAAGCTTGCAGAGAATGTGCCAATTTGAGAGGGAAATTTGTGAGAAACACCCACTGTTGTGGATGTCTGCACGTCCTTGGACCTAGAGCAAACATCGGTGAACTCAGTTGCCAAGGCAGCTGTGTAAAGATTACACCTCAGGGCTCCTTGGGGCCTGCACGCTCCCCGCAGGGAAATGGACTCGCCTGGAGACAGGCTATTACGGCTCAGCCTCACATTTAACTCAAGGGGTAGGTAATAAACACACACCAGAAAAGTGTTCTGCGGTTTCACAGAAAGCTAACAGCAGTGTGGCCACTTCTCTAGTTCTAAAGATGTTCTTTACATGAATCAATATGCAAGAAAGGCAGCTATTCCCTCGGTAAATATGCCATCTCTGAAAGCCTGGGGGAGCAGGGGGTGCATGAACTGATAGCAGCACTCCTGGAAAGAATGCTTTGAAGAATGTCTTTCTGTACCCTACAGAATTATCCTGAGATTTAGAGGAGGCTCCTCTTGCCCTGTCTCTGCAAGGCAGGTGGTGGAGCAGAATCTCTGAAATCTCCGGATTTGCTTTTTCTATTACTCTCACCTTCCCCAAACCCGCCCCCAGAGCTTCCAGCTGGGCCTCCTGAGGGAGAGTAATGAAAACCTGTAAAGGAAATAAAAAGCCAAATAAGCTTGGATGTCGATGTAAGAATTGTAAGAGCAAGGAATAGTCCTTGGGAAACCTTTGGTAGCCACAGCTGGGTCAGATGAAAGATGTTCTGGGGGGAGACTCTGGAAAGCAGAGCATGTGCAGTCATTTACTTTACAAATACCTTTTGAACTTCTATTAAGTGCCAGGAAGAGCGCTGGGCAATGGGCCCCAAGGTGGAGTCAATGAGAAACAGACCCCATCTTCATGGAGATTACAGTCTGGTGGGGGAGAAAGAATTAATCCAATGATCATCCATAAAACTGACAGATTAAAGCTCTGATAAATGCTAGGAAGGAGAGGGTCATGGCTCTAACGGAGGAATGTTGGGAGCTTGACTTGGTCAGAGGATCAGGCAAAGCTCCTCCACAAAGGGGCCGGGAAACAGAGCTAGAGCGGATGCAGAAGTAAAGAGTCGACCAGGCCAGGAGAGTACGGAGGGAGGAGAATATCCCAGTAAGAGGAGAGAGCAACTGCAAAGGCCCTGTGGGAGGAGCATGGAGAGCGCGACCCAGAAAGGCTGGGTCTCAGGAGGCAAAGCAGAGAGCAGAGGAAAGGGCAGCAAACGGGCCAGCAGGTGGCAGAGGAGGCGAGGCTCTGTGGACAGTTAGGAATTTCGCTTTTTGTCCTGAAAGCCATGGGAAATCATTAAGGGATGCTAGGGAAGGGAGCAATGTGAACAGATTTACATTTTGAGTTAATTATGTTGGATGAGAGTGGAGGTGGGAGGCCAGTTAGGAGGGAGAGGATAATAGCTTAGACCAGGACAATGAAAAACATTGGAAGAAAGATCCTGGTTCAAGAGAAGCTCAGGAAGAAAATAAAACTTGGTGCTGGTCATGGAACGTGACTGAGAGGGAGATGACAGGGCTGGCTTCCAGGCTGTGGTTTGTCCGATTATATGATGGTGCCACTCGAGAGAAGAGCACCAGAAATGGAGCAGTTTGGGGCAAGATCATAGCTCCATTTGGAGCACATTGGATCTGAGATGCTTTGAGACATGCACATTGGACTTGCAACACTTTGAAATGTATAATTTGAAGGAAATGACCAGTAGAAGGTTTCCAACCTGCCCTGTTAATTTTCCCCAAGAAATAATGCATGAGAGCACTTACTTAAAAGAAAGGCATTCTTACAAAAGGCAGGAACTTCTTTTTACATATATATTTTATTGATTTTAAATATATCTTTATTGATTTCAGAGAGAGGAAAGGAGAGGGAGAGAGAGAGAGAAACATCAATGATGAGAGAGTCATTGATCGGCTGCCTCCTGCATGCCCCCAACTGGGGACCGAGCCCGCAACCCGGGCACGTCCCCTGACCAGGAATCCAACCCCGATCGCCTGGATCCTAGGCCGACACTCAACCACTGAGCCACGCCCGGCCAGGCTATTTTATTGATTTTAGAGAGAGGGAGGGAGAGAGGGGAGAGACAGACGGAAACATTGATGTGAGAGAGAAACATCGATTGGTTGCCTCGCGCCCTGACCAGGAATCAAACCCACAACCTGAGTATGTGCCCCGACGCGGAATCGAACCCATCACCTTCTGTTGTAGGGGAGGACACTCCAACCAACTGAGCCACAGCGGCCGGGGCCAAAAGGTAGAAACTTTTCCTAGGTATCCCTGAAACAATCGTCATGACCAC